GCATGATGCAAAATATAATTTAATTGCTTGTTTATCCTAAATATCTTATCCAGTCCGATATCTGACAATGTAAACAACTTTTTTCCGTCTGGTAACCTATATTGAAATAAGCCGGTTAAAAAACTATTGTTCGGGAAATGCTGGTTTATTCAGAAGACTAAATGTCTGAAGCTTAAAATAATTACAGATTTCATTTGGAAATCGACAAACTATAAAAAATAAATGTAGCAGACCGATTTGTATTAGCAGACAGATTAGCAGACGACAGCCAGTGAGTCTAAGTTCGTGACTTGTTTAGCTTATATACAACAGCAGTTACAGTACTTAGTGCAGCGTTGATAGAATTACATACCTCTGAATTCTAGCAGAGAAAATAATAGATTTACGACATAATAATACTAACGTTATAATGCTTCTCACGAGAACAGTGTATAACTTCAGTAAGACACCTGCACATTTAGAGTGTTTTGTACAATTTAAAGTAAACCACCAAGCGATTGGTACTTCAATGCCGGAAAATATTCTTGATAAATTACTCACTAAAACTATACACTTACGAACTAATTGCGACCTCTTTGACACACATTTCGTTCATGACACGAATGTCAACGCATAAAAGAAAAGAAACGGGTCTTTTTTTATCCGAAAATAGGAATACGTGCGCCTTTTCTTATATTTGCAGACAACACTTCATTACACGAGTTGAACTGTCGAACTAATGGTTGAACGTGCATATTAATCTACGTAATCGTTTTAAGTTACTTTTGACGGACATACATTTTCCTCTTTCAAACAAAGCAAACTTTGGCTATATTTTAGTTTATTTTGTCTCCGTGCGTTCAATCCTATTGTTGACAGACGAGAATAATTCAAGCTTAGCAAAATGCTTTTTTTTATTCGAGACTTTTTATTTCAGCTTTCAGCCACTACAATACTCGGGCAGATTGCTCATTGAAAGTCAAAATCTGAATTAGATAGAAAAACGTCATAATGCGAGATGCAGAAAGTTTTAAAAATCAAATTTCATTACCATGTTTTGAATTAACTTAATAAAACCTCTGGCCAAATTGCAGGATTCCGCGTTATTTTATGTGCCCAATGTTCCAGGGTTCACCGCATTAACCATAAACCTCCCAAAGCGCGTGCCACCCGCGTGCGCCTCAATTTTCCGGCAAAGAACACAAAACAAATTGTACATTAGCGGAGCAGACGACACTGAATGCTAATAAGAATGCACGGGCGCATAATGCACATCGGAAGGAAAAATACAATTATGTCGCCAAAGCTTTCAAGAATACAGAAACATTAATGAGGTAACATAATAACGGACGGATCTAACGTAGCTTTCACAAATCTATATTGTTCAAAATGATCCAAAAATGCTTAAATGGCCTGTACATTTAGAAATAAGCTTAATTAAAGACAAGATAGAATCGCTGTTCACTCTGCACATTACTATAAAAATCCCTAGTATTAGTAAGTCGCACGTGTTTGGTTATTGAAATTTCAAGCATTTTCGTGTTTTCTTTTGTTGCTATTTTCAGTTTATTTTGGTTTTAACTGGCTTCGTTATTTTTTAGACTGTCTGACCTAAAGTTAAAAGTTTTACGCGTTTGTCTGAGAAAAACGAACTCGTGTATGTGCTTTATAAAACTGACGCCACATCCATACATTAATTATCCATTCTAAATAATACAGTTTACTGTAAGATGTCTTTTTTATTTATATTAAATTATAGCCGGTGTTTTACCGACCACCCCCGTTCCCCCAAAATTATGCGCTTTGGGCGCACTATGTCAGGTAATATAAGCTTATCTATATTGTATGGAACTGACAACGATGAAATAGTTCAAGCAATTGTGTATGTCTGTGGCAACCGTGGTCTGCTGCATGACCGCCATATTTGTTCTGACGGTCAAATTACAAAGTCCTTAAGCGTCGTGTTTTTGGGACGTTGGTCCGTATTTCCTGGCATTCTTCATTTTTGAACCATGACAGTCTCGCGACTCCATGACAACCCAGCTCACGTGCTGTAAAATAGCACGGTAACCAAGGCAAGCACGTGTCCATGTCAAATTCCGCCATAAAATTCACAACATATTGTTGTAAACCCCTAAGCTTAATGCATCTTTCTTCAATTTCCCCCACAACTTCAATGCCCTCAAACAATGTGACAGCCGGGTGAATATCGAATTTTGTGTCTTTAAGGAAAAAAATGTGGCGAAAAGACCCTGTTATTAAGCCTTTGTTTGAGGTTAATTTTATTGGTAAAAACTAGCATTTGGTTCCAGCGTTTTGGGTTATACGATCACGAAGAAGTCGGCTTTGGATTCTTTGTTCCACAAGAACCCATTGTGGAGGTTTAATGACGGCAGATTATGAGTTTTCTAAGGAAATATTCAAATTAGCGTTCTATCATAATAATTGCATCTTTCAAAACGAAATGAATTAAGCCCCGTTGATTATTGATTTTTTTTCAAACATTCAATCCTGAAAAGCATCTTGATATGGCTTGGCTATTATTAACATTTTTAACAATAAGCGGGGAAACATAAAAAATAAGAAAGTTAATAGCATATCTTAAACCAGACTGACAAAGAAATATTCAGATTATTCTTTTCCTGGGGAAAATAACACAATGCTAATCACTTATTACTCAGCGGCATCCCACAACCTTGATAAATATCTAGGTGACCATGTCATAAAAATCACCAGTTAAATCTTTAATTTGTAGGTACTACTTTTTATCCGGCCTACGCATTACCGTATTTGGGCATGTTTACTATAAGTTCATTGATAAAGCTAAACGTAGTAAAATTGACCTTGTAAATTACCTGTGTGACGTCACACTATTTACACACCTGTAAACCAATCAAAAGTTAGCTAGTGTAAAGCGTAATTGCACTCATAAAACATATAGACTACAGATGTTAAGCGTTCAAATTAACTTTATTATGCAACTGTCTGGCGAATATTACTTGGTGTTTTAAGTTAATGCGCATTTAGAAAAAAGTATGATAGCCTTGTTTAGGAAAGTTTAAATCGTTGAGAAATCGTAGTCTGGTAACGGAATCATTGTAAAGTAGCATTTTACGCAAATCAAAGTTTCCACGAATCAAACATATAAATGTAAAATTTCCAATTTCACAAAGATTGATGTTTAACTAAGCTTGCTAGGAAAACTATCTATATATATAGACAAAATTATATAAATACTATAAGTGTAACTGCACTTGATGTATACAGCCAAACTTAAGTATTTCATATTATGATAAACACATCGATGGTTCTTAAAAATAGTCTCCTTAGTAACATTGATATTGATAGAGATTATGAAGAAGATGATCATGACGATGTTGGTGGTGGTGATTTTAACAACAATTCAATATTACGTTCGACCGCTAAATTACAAAAAATAATGGTTTGGAATGCCGGTTGCGCGCTCATTTTGAAAAATAAAGTAACACAAAAGCTGCACCAGGTCATAATTATTAAATATATAAGATATGAACTTTCTTTATGTTTCTATCAGTCAGTAACCTATTAGTGTATATTTAATTGTAAATTAATACGCAATATCATATTAGCTACTGAGACATAGAGTGACGTACGTCGCGCGCGCGCTGTCTGCCTGCGGCAATTATGCAAATTAGAAAATAATAAGTACATGAAAATACGGGGAAAATTAACGAACTTCCACGTATATAATTAATTGCGAAATACCGATGTATAAAACCCTAATGACGGCAAGATTGATAGACCTAAGCGTTAGTTTATGATATTGTTTACGGTATACTCACATGATGTTTTTTTAACGTTCGTGTTTTTCACTTTGTATTTGAGACACGAAGTGAATTATATTTAAATTACAGACATACCAATTAACATATACAGAAAACATGTCCCCTTTTCTTCTGAAGTAAAAACAATGCTGTAAGTGTAAACATGTAAGGTCGAAATTGACGTATCCGAATATGAAATTACGTAAGCAGATCTTAAGTACTGATAAAGGTCTTTTTGAGTTCATTAGGGGCCATCAGTAGGATGTTAATACAGATTATTATCTCGATTTACAGAACGTCCCTTGTATATGTGCATATATATAACTCAACAACAACATGTACACAACTATCAAAATATGTACTTCTTGAACCGGTGATACAGTAAAAAAGCAACCGTGACTGTATTATGTCACTGAGTACAATAATTTGGAGAAAAAAAACCAAGAAAAATAATAATGCTATATATTTAAATGATCGTATTTAAGATATGGTGGCTAAATTATCTATAAAAAGACGGAAAATAAATCAGTTATTTTGTAGATTCACCTGAGGGTGTTACTTAAATCAAAAATATACCAATTAAAACCGTGCTACATGTTGTTGTTTTAGTGCGTTCTGAATCAGGATATAGACGCAATACGGATGTATGTGTCACTGTTATATACGTGAAGATTTGATATCTACTATAATACTGTATACTGTCGTCATACTTTCACATGTTAAAACTTTCTAATCCCAAATTTGGAAACTGTTATTAACATGCACATCTTTTAAATACAACGGCATCTGCTTCACATTCGGGGCAATTTTCTATGTTTACTAATAGGAGGGTCAGATAAAGAGTTATAGAGTTTTAATACTAGTACAATTTACATAGTTTCGTTACCACTATTTTTAAACCACATTATATTACATTTCATTGTACATTTAACCACTCCTCATGTTTACAAGTTTAAGTCTGATCTAATCGTTCAACCATACCATTCAACACTGGGTGGTTTATGTGTATTTGTCGATTTAATCTCGCCCTATATCTAAAAGTACGATTACCATGAGCCTTGCCTCTATCACCCCTGGGTCGTTTCGGTTTTGAGTCTTTAATAAGTGTTAAGATACAATTAGTACTGAATCATTTCCTATTTTAGCTTCACTGATTTAACGAATATTGTGAAAAAGTAGTATCTGTAACAAAGAGTTAAGTAAAATGTACTGACTAACCTCTGCCACTACGGCCTACGAATCGAAGATCGTTGAATTTAGCCATTTGGTTCTTCATATATGCTGTACTATTCCTCAGTTCCCCAGTATAATTTTCATCATTTCCACAAGCTATTGTCACTTTAGTTCCATCTTTAATTTCTCCAAGAGCTATCACTTTGAATGGCACTGGTAGGGTCTTGTTCGATCTCCAGTGCGACGGCAGTTTCGTACACACAAAGTTTGGGCTCCCTGTCCTCACCAGCTCGCCTGAATGTTCCCCGAGGACGGAGCTCAAGCTCTTGTCCCCAGGGAAGACGTCCACTTGGCTCATCGTCGCATGTGGATTTTCGGTGAACGGAGTTAAACCGTTCAAATCTGCCGGTAAATGCATGCGGTTAATAATTTAGTAAACACACTTATTTCAGTTAAAACTTTTACTATGTAGTTCGGTTTAATACAACCGATATCGAGGATTGCGGTTTTATGAATGGTTAGAAATATTAACTATGTTGGTTTTTACACCGAGGGCACTCCTTCCTTATGATTGGCTAACTGACTCAGCGTGTTCGCTGAGGTGAATCGATATTACTACGCGTCGCGTATTTTTTATCGCCTCGCTATCTTGCGTAGGTATATGTTAATATTACGGCTTAAATGCGTTAATCGTTTAAACCAAGCTGCTAATCAGCGTATGTCCATCGAGTGCTATTTCCGTAAACATTCTTTATAGCGGTGTTAGATTTTTTTATTGCGCATAAAGTACATAATAATTGCTTTATTAGTAATTTTTGAGACATTATTATTTTTCGTTAATACCATTATTTACGAAATAATAATATAAAAGTAGCTAATTAATACTACACAAATTTTATTTGAATTTTAAGATATTATTTTAAAAGACGATAGTTTTGATGTCAAAAAAATCGGTTCTTGTTTTTGAAAATGTTTTTGCATGTGTGATTTTCGTCTATCTCTTGCTCCATTAAATTTGCACTTAGTATACTATAAATCACAATACATTGCTCGGCTGCACCCTCATGCAGTTAACGCTGTATTGATTCACAAAAATATGTATGTATCAATTTCGACATAACATTTGAAAACAACAACTTGATAATCTGTGATTTCTGTTTAATTATATATGTAATTTTATACCAAAAATAAAACGGATGACCAAAGCAGCGATACTCAAACATTTATAAAATAATAAAAAGAAAGTGTTATAAAAGTAAAAAAAAATATAACGAAAGTACTTTACATCGAAAACGTAACTCCTATATTTGCAGACGACTACAAATTCCAAATAATGCTTCGATAGAATTTTCTCCTATATATGGAACTACAAATGAAATTTCTGTTTTATCCGTTGAATATTAAGCCGAGAGTGTCGTCTGCAGAATAATCGGAGTACTTGCGGGGAAGAAAATCTGCCCATTTTGAGAGAAATTCTCTCAATTTTCTAACAGACGGTAACGGGTTTTCTTGCCTTAAAAGCACACGCATTTATTCGTGCAAATGGGCGTTTACGAATATCTTTTAGCGTATTTGCTTTTTTTCATTTCTTTTTTGTTGTTCTCTAAATTCCCGTCTTAAAATAAAGCCATATATTTTCTTCGTGGCGTATGTAGGTGCAAAAGATACAATTCCATGCAATTAATTTTCAGATAGAATTAGATTTTGATATAAATTACGAATTGTACCGAAGGGGAAAAAAGATCACTGACCATCCTTGTGGGAATCATAAGTCTTCAGTTTTATAATTATACCATAATCTTTCTCTTTCTTCTGCTTGCAAAAATGAAAATCAGCACATGCAAAACACAATACAAGAGACCTTGAAAACACCCACTGATGCCCGTTAAAAGGACATCATTGAATCTTGCTGAAAAAGGAGCGGCTCTGAAAAAGTTTTCATTTATTTTTACATCATCAATTAATTATTTTGCTTTTAAATCTTTTCTATTCTACGAAACATCATAAATTGCGTTGTGTTTACACGGCATAAAGTATTGTGTTGATGAACTGATATCATTATTAATAAATAACACATAAATCACGCGTACGGTGAATTACATAACAAGGATTATAGAAAACAAATCGTTGCCGGTCTTTTCAATACAGATTTTATGATGCGTTTACGCATTGTAAATTTTAAGGCACAAATTGTGGTATATCAATGTGCTGATTTGAGCATGTTATAAGTTATATGTTATACGGCTGTAATCACCACCATAAAGGTTATTTATACTCGCACACGACTAAATTTAATTTGTTAACATATAACTTTCCTCATTGTGAATTTATTATACTATTTGATTTTTTTTTTAAATTTGTAACGGCCATGTATGATGTTATAAACGTCAGTATTGTCGAATCAAAAAGCGGCGTTACAAACGTTTAGTATTATAATCCAAAATATTAAAAATTATAAATAATCCCAAAACGTGATTATGTGGTAACGGTATATCCTTATAATATTGCAGCATCATCCATGTAATCAGTACAATAGTGAGGACGTTACGTTACATTACGTTACGTCAACGTTAAATGATTTTGAGTTTTGAGTCGCGACGTGTTTTTCTCATGAGGGTTTTGTTTAATTAATTGCCGACAATATTTCCAATCTCTACCCGCGTTTGTTTTAGAACGTTCTATATGTGGAAAAGTTGGCAGCTGCTTGCGGAGCAATATAATTGAAATCGTACTGAGTGCACTGCTAGGAAGTGTAAAAAATGAAACACTGGACGTTGAATCTTAAAGACAACAAAACAAACTAAAAATCTGGAAACAAAGTGATCCCTCGGAAGCATTAATCACAACAAAATTACAAGAGAATTGCAGACTCGGTTTGATTGAGTCTGTACATGAGGGAAAATTTGAATCGTGCAAACCCCTCCGCCCCCTGGGAAACCCGGCTTGACGGACTAAATTCTAACACTAAATGTGGGGCATAAATGACCCCGAAGGACAAAAAAATATAACACTCACTTGGTAACATCACTTGCTTGTTTTGGAGTCCTTTTTTAAATTCTGTTTTAAGTATTAGGATATACCATGTTAAACGACACTGATAAAATCAACTGACAACTTTCCCGTGAAACAATCCAGCATTTACTCCTCGTATTGAAATTTAATCATCTTTTATTTAGGGTATTTTATTAACGGACATAATTTTTTGAGAGGTGTGTTTTAGATTGTAACAGTAGAATTTGTAACACGGAAATTGAAATGTGAAAAATGAAACAGGCCTTTTTAGTAGATGAATCTAAAACTTGTACATGTATTTTAAAAATGTTAGCATAAAGGGAAATATTTCAAGTAGAAATAATTAAAATACTTGAAATATGGGAGAGATGTGGGTTACTGGAAATTTCGCATGTGTCACGTGTCACATATTTTGTAAATGTATATAAATGACATGTATCATTTATAGAAAAATGTAAACGCGAGAAACTGTCACTATATTTAGCATTATAAAATACTTTTGTCTATCTATAATAAAGTGTTGTCCACGTGTGTTTTCAAATCTTGTAATATTCTACATGTACTGTAAAGTTCTACTTTTTGTATTTTTATTATTTTTTATTATAATTGTAAAAATTATGTAAAATTCTAAAACAAATAATGAGAAATTTTAAAATAAATCATTTTATCAATAAAAACTTTTTCTGTAAAATCAATCGTTTTATTAACATCATTTCTGCAAATCGTTCCTGTACTGTAAAATTCTAACAATTCTATAAACCATTAGATTATAACTATTTGTGCAAAATTCTAATTTTTGTGATGGGATTTTTTTCACTGACGAATTCGATGTCAGTGTATACATGCATTATCTATATACATGTATATACATGTATTGTCAGCTGACAATAATAATCGTCTGGCAAAAAGTACTGCAACTACTGGTAAAATTGGCAAGTATTGTGCAAATGCCGCACCTGAAATATGAACCAGGCACGAAGAGTTCACGAATTACCCGTGTAACAAAAACCACACAAAGGACTTTTTCCATTGTTTTCTATTACTTGGAAAAGTTAGATATTTAAAGAGTCCCTATTTAAAACGAATACGTATATATTTTATTCCGTGATAATCAATTTAATTTAGTTACACGTCAGAGTACTAGTACATGTATTCTAAATTAAATTTCCATGAAACAAAAAAAAATCTTAAGAGGTCATGTAAGTCTATATGACTATTCCAGGTTGTGCGACAATCTCTAAATTTAAATACGAACCACGACGATTCTTTTTATATCAACAAATATAGCAAAACAATACGTATTGCGTAATTCTTATACCAAAAAATAACTGTTGACCTAGAGAATTATGTTTCATAAAGAGATATAGATACACCGACAGATGAATTTTGGTTGATTATATCAAATTTCGTGCAGTAATTTACTCACTTAATTTCGCATGTCTTTATATAAGTTTGTACGAATTTAATTTATATTGTGTTGGAAGCTATAAATTTATTGAAACACCATCGAATCCGTTCCTGAAACTAACCAGCACTTAGAAATGCATTTAATGTTTCTTGCTCACGGAATAAAAACGGCTTACCCCTCGAGGGGTTTGAACCCACGCGGCCATCAATTCTTAGATTACTTCTCCGACGCGTTTACCACTCGGGCATGCCGCCGTTAAGCTGAGTTAAAAGTGTGCACTAGGATATGTTTCTTACATGTCTGGCAAGAAAAATATCTCGTCGAATCTTCATCGTCATCAGATAAACTTAAGTGTGAGAAATTCCGATGAAATGCAATTTCATTTTTTTTAATTTTCCCCTAATACTCAAACTTTCTGACACAACATCAAATGAATAAACTAGCTATACATGAATGATAATTTGCCTGCAGTAAAATGTATCTGTAGATTCATCCTTTAATTTTGAAATTTATACATATTAATTTTATCAAATACCGTTTACTTAATATTTATTTATGCTTATTTGAATGGCTCTAGAAACCAGTATTGGTGTACTATTGAGGGAACATGTGGGGATCGAACAAAAGATCCATGTGTTTAGGAGCAGATACTTTTACAATTTGGCCACTGCTCGACATATGGTTATGGAATAATGAACGACTTTTTTCTTGTGTATGTATTTTTGGCAGTAAGATTTAAATTAGTATTACATTGTTTCTTAATGTTGTTTTCTACCCACAATGCTAATTGTGCAGTCATCTCACGCACCAAATATTATGTTAACATGTCTTCACTAGAAATATATGCGTTTTTGTGTTTAAACGATTCTTTCGAATAACTAAAAGTTAGAATTAAAGACTTTCTTTACCGTACCTTGTTCAAATATTGGTAATAATAAACAGCAAATATTATCGTGCACAACAACGAATATTAGCCTAAACCCCCAAATACAGAAAGATAATACGGTTTTGTTTATTTGATTAATTGATATACTTGTTTGTTAATACACGTACATGTAAACAACTTTTGTTTGCTCTTTGAAACATTGTTAGGAGAAGCACCAAAGTCAATTTTATATTTA